CACCTCTAAACATTTTCCAGGGTACCAGAGCTTTTTAAAAACTCTTGTATTTCCCTGACAGCCCTAATTTTTTTAATGTACCTCCCTAAAAAACAGAAGTTAGCTGGCAAAACAAGGTGGTTTGTCTCTTTGGAGCTATGGCCATGCTCCCTGCAGCCCAAGTTACAGCACAGCAGCACTTGCACCCCACCACCATGGTGATTTTGCTCCTCAGGTACCCCTCTTCTCACCTGATCAGGGAGCAGCACAGCCCCGTCCAGCCAGCAGCCTGCTGGAATCTGGACTCACCCTTCTTCCTGCCCCTGCTGCCAGGGTGTTTCTGCTCTCTGCAGCCTGGTTGGTTTGTGCAGAGAAAGCTGCTGTGTGCCATCCTCAGTGGGACAGTCTGCAACAGCAACTTGTCCAGCAGCACGACGTGGCCCAGCATGCAGCACTGGCACTCCCTCGAGAGCCAGAGAGGTGTGCAAGACAACCTCAGAGGACCTGCAGCTCTTGCCCTTCCTTCTAAGGGCCATACACACACGTTCAAGAAGTGCTGGTACACATACGCGCGCGCGCGCACGCACACACACACACGGAGACCTGCAACTCTGCAGGGACAATGCCGCCTTTGAGCCAGGATGCTTTTATTGAAAAGACCCTGCCACAGGGAGTTGCTTATCCTGTCCCTTCCCCACCTAGTCCTGCAGCAGGAGCTGAGCAGCACCTGGAAGGAAGAGTCCTGAAAGTGCTTTACTGGGAGGTTTATTCCTGGAAGACACTGGATCCTGTGATGCTTGAGTCCAGGCCTGCAGAGCCAGCACGCCAGCTCAGTGACAGGCAGCAGAGCATGGAGGGAGAGCAGCAGCCAGGGCACCAGCTGCCATCTCTGCAGCAGAGAGCCTCCTCCTATCACCCTGTTCCCTCCTGCTGCCGGCAAGGGGGCACATCTGGGCCCAGTCCCAGCCTCGGACACAGCAGTGCAGATATCCAGTGAGAGACTTCTGCCTGCAGGCTCTGGGGAGCGAACAAGCACAGTCCAGACATCACCTCTTCACCAGCCCCAGGGTGGCTGTCGATGGCTCATGTTGTCCTTGCACGAGCAGGCAGACTGGGCAGATAACAGCAAGCCAGCAGTCCACCAGCTCTGGGCATTCAGGGCCAGCCCTTTGCAACAGGTCTGTGTCACATCAGCCAGCCTGGTGCAGGCCATGGGACCAGCTCCAGGAGCGGAAGCATTAGCAGCGACCATACCCCCACAAGACAGAAGGAGTCAGGAGCAGGATGTGATGTTATTGAAGCTAGGGTTGTCCCCAGAGTGGTGATGAGCTCTGCGGTGCACATCCTGCCGGGCCCACGGAGACCTTGCTGGGCCTCACCACATTATCTCCTCCAAGCAGCACAGGCATTGCCCTGCTCACAGGGTGCTCAGCAGCTCCCCCACAAACAGCTTGAATGTGACAGGACTGAGCCCTGCTAGGGAAACAGCAAAGCCACAGCCATGCCCTGGCGCTGCCTGCTCCCAAAGCTCTGTGGGGCTTATGCCACCCCACAGAATGGCTCCTACCAGCTCCCTGCCCTGGTTGCACTCTGCAGGCTGGCCAGGCACCGTGGCAGCACTAGCTCCTCGTGCTTGTTTGTGTCTTTGTCCCCTGCAGCAGGGAGAGGCCTTGAAGCCCCTGCGTGGCAATGATGGGGTGCAGTGGAGCCCCGTTCTCCAGCAGGGATCCACCCTTCAGCTGTGCTCGCTGGGCCCAGCCCCACAGACAAACCCTCCTGCCACCTGGCCATGACTTCCCTGTCGGCACTGGGATGAATCCTGCACTGCCACATCCCCTCAGTCTCAGGGCCAAAAGGGGAGCAGCTCCCGCCCTCAGCAGGCAGCCCTCCGAGCCCAGACACAGCGGCTGAGAACAAGGCCTGCTCCAGGCTGCCTG